TATGATCCCCATGAGTATCCCTTTTGGAGACCAACATGGTGATTATGAATAGTATATAGACTGAAAGTTTATTTACTCTTAATTTAAAATGTTAATTTAGTGATTGATGCTTCTTGCTATCTTCTATATGCTTTAGCATCTTCATCACAGATAAATCAAGCATCACTTTGGGATAGGGAGCTAACAACATAGCAACCTCTTTTGATTAACATCAAGAAGTTATTTTTTTATCGGAGTAAGAATTACAAAAAGTGTGAATTAAAATGCATAAATGGATCCCTACTTGTAGACACTATTTGATCATATCATATGATTATAAGAATCCAATTTATCCCATCGACTGCCATAGGATAGACTATGTCAAATTTTTCAGTACAATCAAGATTGTATAGGATAATTTACATTATTTTTTGTCAATCTGATTCTTATTCATAACTGCCTTTGACTAGTCAATTTATAGAGTATGAAAACTTTTTTAAACTTTATATAAAAGAGTTAATTTAATAATAATTACCTTCAATTACATAGTCCTAAGTGCATTATATAGTACGAACAACAATATCATGCATTACAATTAACCACTATGGATAATCCTAAGTAATTCATATTATAATTACTATGCCTAGGGAATTATGTAAGCCTACATGTATTATATAATATGATTGTGTGCCATAGAGTACAAAGAGAAGGGAATTTTTGTGGTGTTCTAATGACCATACCCTTTCAAATTAATGTAAATGTAAGTAACAACAATAAACAATATCCATTATACCATAGATAGAAATAAAAAGACAAACATTAAAAAAAAAACACATAACAAAAACACTAATATAATCAGTCCTAAAGATTTATAACCTCAAATTAATTACTCCTAACCTTGTGTTCTAGTCTTCTCATAGTGAAGTAGTTCTGTTAATATATCTGCTAATTGATTCTTGATGTCAATAAATTGCACTTATGTATCTTTCTTAAGTAAATAACCCCTAGTGAAATGGTGTCTATCATCAATAAGCTTAGTAGGTGAATATTGAAATATGTTCTTTGTGATGAATATTTTATTAGTGTCATTACATATGATAGGAATGGTGTCCACGTGAAAGCCAAAACCAAGAATTTATTACTTCATCCATAGGACTTGGACAACACAACTTACTACAACTATATATTCTACTTCTACAGTGGATAAGGCCATTAAGTTTAATTTTTGCTAGACCAAAAAAACTAAAGAATGTCTAATAAATTGATGAATTCTTGATGTGTTTTTTTATCTACTTTGTATCCTACAAAATCTAAATTTGAGAGCATCCTACAAGTTAAAAATCCATGCTATTTTTGGATACATATTGCCTAAACTAAGTGATCCTATAAGATATCATAACATTATTTTTTACTGTACTTAAATGAGTTTTCTTAGGATCAACTTGAAACCTAACACATAAATACACAATAAACATTATATCAAGTTTGTTGGTGTCATTTATAATAATAATCTATCACCCCCTATACTTCTTTTTGTTAATGGGCTTGCCATTGAGATCCTTGTTTTGCTAAGTAGTAGGGCTCATGTGGGTATTTATACTCTTAAACTATTCCATATAAAATTTATTAATGTATTCTTTTATATATTTAGTCCGGCAAAGGAAGGTTCTATCTTTCTTTTATTTAAATCCTAAGAAATAAGTCAGCTCTACCATTATACTCATTTTGAATTTATTTTCAGTGTTGAGGAAAATTCTTCACACAAATTGTTGGTTGTTGACCCAAAACTAAAATCACCTACATAAGTTGGACATTAAAAAATATTCTCCAATTTTTCTGATGAATAGAAAGGCGTTTATTATCCCTTTAATAAATGACTTATCTAGCATGAATATACTAAGGCTATCTTACTGCACTCTAGGTGCTTATTTCAATATTTGGAGTGTCTTCTTGTGTATGTAAACATGATTTGGAAAATATGTACTCTCAAACCCTAGTGGTTGCACTACATAAACATCTTCCTTTAGTACTCCATTAAAAAATTATCTTATGATATGCATTTGGTATATTTTGAAACCACTAAAGAATGCAAAGGCTAATACCCTTATGGCCTCTGACCTAGGAATTGGGGCAAAGGTTTCCTTAAAGTCTATATCTTTTATTTGATTATATCCTTTAGCAACCAATCTTGCTTTGTTTCTTACTACTAATCTAGATCCATTCAATTTATTCTTAAACACCCATTTAGTTCCTATCACAAACTAATCAGATGGCCTTTGCAGTATCTCCCACACATAATTTCTTGTGAATTGATTCAATTCCACTTACATAGTTGTAATCCAGCACTCTTCATTCAATACTTCATCTACACTAGTAGGCTCTAACCAAGAAATAAATATGATGCGGATAATCTCCTTTCAAATTTCATATCTAGTACTAACACTTGAAGAAGGATCTTCTATGATTAGGTCCTTGGGATGACTTGAAGTCTATTTCCATTCTTTTGGAAGTGGCACTTGATTTTCCTATCAACCTTCTAATCCTATTTTTTAAAACTCTAGGAATAATGCCCTATTCTTGTTCTATCTTTCTTATATGACTCATCAAATGTAACATAGGTCGACTCTACTATAACTAGTGTCTTCTTATTAAACACTCTACATGCCTTTCCTATGAAAGAATAAACTAGAAAGACTACCTCATCTACCTTGGTATCAAATTTTCCTAATTGAGATTTTCCATTATGTAATACAAAACATCTATACCAAAAAACATACAAATGAGAGAGGTTTAGTAATCTACCATTTAAAAGTTGATATTTAATATATAACATATTATATTCACTACTTTGCCATAAAATATTTTTATAAACTATATTCATTTAGAACTTACATAATAGCCTCAAATAAGGTCATATTTTTCCTTTCAACTAATCCATTATAATGGGAGTTGTTAGTTAAATTTTTTTATGATTTAAGCTACCTTATTTTGCATTAAATATGCATCACTTTATGATTTTGTGTAGGAACAATCAAATTAAAGGTGTAAAAACTGAAGAAATGAATTTAAAGCCTTAATATATTATTAAAAATAGAGAGCAAGATGCCATACCAAGAAGTCTAACTTGCTACAACATTGTCTAAGCATCACTATTTAAAACACCACAACACTATAATGCCATCCAAAGTTCTGTAATGCTCAATTTGATGGTATAATAGAAGATTAGTTTGCTCAGTTATACTCAAGAAGAACACATTAATTCAATTAGAGTGTCACCATAAAATACTTTATTAGCACTATAGTGTTTGTTCATTTCATAAGCACAAAAACTCTACCACTCTTAGTGCTATAGTGTTAGAGTCAATTATTGGTTTCATTTATAAATAATATTATTAAATTATTGAGTAGGGGTGGCCATTTTATCATTTATACTTAGTATGGTCTACTAGGGAGTGAATTTGTGTAAGAGTATAGGAGTGAGGGATTAGAGGATAAGGAGTGAGTGTATCTTCTATTGTAGGAGACATCTAGTTCTATCTATCCTTTAAACTTTAATATTTTATTTATTTTTATCTTAGTAATGAAGTTTATTTTGTTTAAAATTTGTAATTTCATGATAAACCATTTTTTGGGTTATGATATTAACATAATATAGGTTTATATAGATTAGTTTTCAGTGCTTTTAAATATTTTAATATTATTTCTAGTCACTCTATTCTTCATTTAATTTATGTACAGGCCTTGCTCAAATTTATAACCAAGTGTGATCTATCTCCTCCACATAGATGCAATTGAATTGATTAGGGAAATTAGAATAGAGTTCTTCCATGTATAGACATATGCTAGATAATTCTTTGGAATTATTGAGCGAATAATATCACTGTAATGAATGAGATTTTTGATAGAAACTTCAAAAAACTTGACAGAGAAGAGGTAGATAAACATATGTACACATAAATTCTTATCTATCATAAGTTTAAGGTGTTTTATCATAACATTTTCACCTAGACATTTTCAATTGCTTACTTTCAATAGCAGACCCCTTTAATTCTTATGGCAAGATAAATTTAGCAATCTGTAGAAGCATTAATAAAGTAAATTTAAAAATCAATATAATCATCATAGGAGAGATATTAAACTTATCTTAAATTACATTACATGACATGTGCACTTGCATCACAACCATTATAGCCTATAAGTGTAGGGTGTAGTATGAAAAATTCTTTTAAGTTTTTGGTGCCATTATAAAGGTTCTAGAAATATTACCTCTTTATTCACTAGAAATGTTACCTCTTTACATTACAAAAGATTTGTTGATTTATTGTTATTTAAGTTTATTATCAATTTATTTTTTTTGTAAGCTTGTCTATTTTGTTGTACTAAAAGTTGAAGTGGATAAAATTTATTCTTGTTATTTATTATTTTTAGTGTAATTTACTATTTGAACTTGTATTGATCACTATGTTTACTTGTTAAATAGTGTAATAGATTTTATTTTCCTATTATTGTTGTTATTGCATGCATAGTAAAAACTAATTAGAAGAACTCTTATTTGAACATGAAATTAAAAAAAAAAAGCACTCCCAAACATAAAAAAAAAAAGAAATATAAAAATAAAGCAGAAACATAAAACCTAGTGTATGAGAATGATCAAGCTAGACCCTTAAGAGATTATACTAATCCACCAGTAGATGGCATAGACCAAAGTATTAACTCACCCAATAATTAAGCAAATAGTTTTTAACTTAAACATGTAAATATCCTAATGGTGGAAAACTTTTTTTTGTGAGGATTCTTGTAGAGGATCCAAACCTACATATTATAAGATTCTTAGAAAATTTGTACACCCTTTAAGTACAAGGGAGTCTCTAATGATGCCATTAGACTTATGTTGTTCCCTTTTTCTTTAAGAGATAAAACAAAAGTTTGAAATAATTCCTTACCCTTGGGCACTTTTACTACCTGGAATTATATTACCTATATGTTTTTAGAAAAAATATTTTCCTTCATCTAAAATAGCCAAACTTAGAAATGAAATTACATCCTTTACCCAATTTGATGAGGAACCTATTTATAAGACACGAGAAAGGTTAAAAGAATTACTTAAGAAATGTCCACATAATGCATTACCAGATTGGTTGATAATTCAACCCTTATATAATTGATTAGTAGGCTCTCTTAGGGAAATTATGCATACTACTGCTAGAGGTTCATTAATGTTTAAACCCTTTAATGAAGCTTATACTTTAATCAAGGATATGACCAATAATAAGTTTCAAAGGCCTTTTGATAGAGTTATCCCTAGTTAAATTTTCTAGTGTGTGTGAAACTGATGCTATATTTATCTTGGCTTATCAAGTAATTTCCATTTCTAAAATAATAGACAACCTAGTGGTCCTTTCAACTTAGGGAGTACCTATGATAGTTGATGAAAATTTTCTTGGACCCCATAAATAACCCTAATTAATTAGGAGTAGAATATTTAAATGAAGATCTTCTAAACCTAGGATTGCTTACTGGATGAAACCTCCTAATAATTCCTAGAAGATTAATGTGGATGGTGCTGTCAAAGGTTCTAGTTTCAATTATGGTGACATTTTTAGGGATGGTTATGGGAATATCATAATGGATTTTGTAGGCCACTTACATAATTGTTCTATTAATTTTGCTGAGTTTTTAGCTATTCTTCATGGGATTAGATTATGTGTTTCTCTTGGCATCTCTAGAATTTGGATTGATGTTGAGGTCCCTTTAAGGACTTTGTACTTATTTTCCTATATTAACAAGTAGGCCCCTCTAAGGTTTCCCTAGAAAAAAATAAATTTAATAACATAAATAATAACTCTTATTCTAACACTTATAATCCTAGTTAAAGAAATCACCCCAATTTAATTGGAATAAAAATCAAACAAGGAATAATAATTGGAAAATAACTAACAAAAAATATATAGAACTAGAACTACTCTCAACCTAATTTTAAAATCCATATGCCTAGGTGTCCTTCAATTTTTAATTATAATAATCAATATAAGGATAATAAGCCATTATTAGAAGGTTTAGTGTTGCATATAGGGACCCAAATTCAAAGTTAAGCCACACTATTCCAAATATAAAAAATAAATTAGGCCAGTGATGTATAGTGCTACATTGAAAGCATGAATAATTTTTATACTCTAGGTTGAAATATGTTTACATATTCTTTGATAAGCAATGCCTACTAAATATATAAGTATGCTGATCGATCAAGTAATAAAGTGATTGAGAGAGTGTCAATCCTTCTGTTAACGTGCAAATGAGCAAGTAATTCCTACTATAATTACAATGTTTATCCTACTTAATGAAAATAAGGATTGAGATTCCTTCTTTGCTGGAGAATGTAAAAGAAAAGATAAGATACAAGATAATTAAAAGTTTTGGACTAATAAATATGAATTACCTAAGTTTTCCTAAGTAGACTCTTTTATTTTTTAAGTGAAGCAGAGCATATGCATTGCTATATCTCTGTCAAGCTTGTAGAGATGTAAAGGAAGGTTTGTGACCATCCTACAATTATTATATCTTCATCAAACCAAAAACTCTAAATATCATATATCTAGACACACAATAGTTTCATTCTAACACTCCTAATCATTCTAATATTCTTCTATCAAGGCAATATATCACATTGAATTTTAACTAGACACATGTTCATCATATGAATTTAATTAAAAATGGGAGTTATTATAAATAAATATTATTCATTCAAAGACATGAGTGTATATTAGTACTAGCAAAGCATTCACATCATTAGCCCAAAATTAGAAAATTAGCTAGCCATAAAAATAAAATAAAATTAACTAGATTTTATTGCTAGCATATAAGAGAAAGTACAAGAGTATAAGTGAAGTCAAATATCACCCCAATAATTGATTAGTGTAAAAATGTTATATTTTATATGTTAAATTTCTAGTAAAATCATTTTATTTGGTTGCAACTTAGTTTTCATAACTATGTTTTTATATCATGTGTGTTTTTTATGATTCTAAAATCTTATTGTATTGATTATTGTTTCTCCTAACATATATTGGAAATATTACTTTAGTTGTTTGTGTATATTAATGTTTTAGGAAAATAATACTACAGACTGCTGAAGGCTTCAAGACATATTAGATTAGGGTTTATTGTAATTGGAGTTTGTACATTTTATATTTTTCTTGAGTCTGATAGAGTGTAATTGTTATTGGGTAACTATGCACACACATACTAGGGGAGTAAATTTTTTTTTTAAACTAATCATATTGTATGATATTAGGTTCATAAGGGATGATTTGTCCTGAGTGTTCCTCCAAAACATAGTTAATCAAATCATGCCTAGAAAATGTTCTAAGTCCTGCTCATACTATATAAAGTTATATTCGTACAGATGATGTCCAGAGTAGAAATGGACATGTACCAATTTGTCCATAACAAACTTAAAATTTTTCTAAATTGATCGTATTGTACGATCATATGTTCATACAGATGATGTCCAGAGAACAAATTGGGTGTCCTCCATTTTATCCATACGAACAGGTCAATTTTTTGAACTAATCATACTGTATGATCTTAGGTTCATAAAGATGACTTCTAGAGTATGAAATAGACTCACCCATTTTCATACCGAATGAAGCATGATTTGGTTAAAATAGATCATACTTTATAATATGGGGTTCATATAGCATGTTATCTATAGTATGAAATTAAATCGTATAGAATCATACCAGATGATCTACTTTAATTTTGAACTGATCATACTATACGATGACAGTTTGTACATACAAATGCGAGAGTGCAAAACTAGTTCATATATTATCGTACAAGGAATTTTTGAACTAATTGTATGTACGATGTGCGATCATACTGTACGATTATAGACGACCAAATTGAAATTTTTAGTTTTCTAGACTATTTTTTGTGTCTTTTATATATAAGGTCCTAAAAAATTAACTGTCAAGTATGTTTCTTCATATTTTCTTTGAGAGCAAGAATGAGAGTGCTTTGAGAGAGTGTTTGAGAGTGTGGATAGAGTGATCTTGCAAAGAGAATTTGTGAAGGGTTCACAAGGTTGCCTAAAAGTAAGGATCTCTTTGTAAGTTTGTCAAATCTATTCCTTACTTCTTTAAAGATGCTTGAGAGAAGATCTTTAGAGAAGATTCAATTCTCTGCCAAAACCAAGAGGGTGTGAAAGGATGGCGATACTCTGTTGACACCAGTCAGGTGTGAAAGGATGATGATTCTCTACTGACACCAGGAGGATGTGAAAGGATGATAGTTCTTTGTCACACTAGGGATTGGTGGAAGAGAGGTAAATTATAAGGGCTTCTCCGCCTTATTGTGGGAGAAAAAAGAGAGTTACTTTGGTATAGTGCAATACCTAAAGGAGTCTTCAGGGAGTGGACGTCGGTCTAGTTGGACCAAACCACTATAAAATTTTATGTTCTTTTATTTTTTATTTTTACCACTTTTTTATTTTTTTACACTTTTATTTTGAGGTAGAAAAGTTTATTTCAAAAAAAAATCAAATTGTATTAAAATTATAAATTAGTTTTTTTATAATTTACCAAGAGTTTTTTTTTAAATTATCAATTTACCCCCTCTTATTAGCATTTGGACAATTGTAATAGGTCTAACAACTTATACGAATTTTTAAGAGGTATCAGAGCCTACTTTTCAAAATTAAGGTTTAGATAACTTGTTAAAAATGATCATGGCTACTTTTAAAAATTATAACACACCTGAAATTTATTCGATCACTCGATCACCTTTATTTGATAACATCCCTTTTAAATTTTAGAAAACATGTATGTATACTTTTCTTCAGTCACTTGACTATCGCATGTGGATTTTAGTACAAGAAGGATGCACTAGGCCAACTAGAGTTATAGATGGTTATATGCATTTCTCTACCTATAGAACTGGAAAAATAATTTGGGATAGACTTTATATCACATATGACGAGACTAATGAGGTTAAATAATCTAGATTGAATATTTTGCTACATGATTATGAACTATTTCATATGAAACCAAATGAATCAATCACCGACACATATACTCATTTCACATAAATAGTCACCTCATTAAATGTTTTAGGTAGGGAACTAACGAATGCTGAGAAAGTAAATAAGATTCTTCATTATTTGCCAACTACATATGATGCAATGATAATTGCTATAATGAAGCCAAAAGACTTGAATGTTTATTTTATTGACAATATTCTTGGATCACTAATTGCTTACGAGTAAGGAGTGACTCAAATATAGATTGATGAAGGTGAGAAGTGGAAGGAGAAAAATATAGCATTAAAAGTGGATGAATCGGAGAGTGATCAGTCTCAACCTGAGGATGAAGATGACATTACCTTGATGATAAGATAATTCAAAAGTTTTCTTAAAAGGAAGCAAAGGAGACATCAGTAGTGAAATAAGGATAAGTTTCATAAAAATATTAAGAATTCTAATGATGTAATATTATGAATGCAAGAAGCTTGGACACATCAAATATGAATGCCTTAACCTTAAAGCTAATCCTAGCAAGGAGAAGGTCAAGGAGAAAAATAATGTAAGAAAGGCTAAGAAGAGATTGCAAAGAGTATTTTGGGTGGATTCATCTTCAGATTCCTCAAAATTAGAAGGAGAGGAGGAAGCCACCAATTTGTGCTTAATGACTGACAAGCTTGTTTAGTTAGATCAAGAAGAGGTATGTGATTTAACATATGAAAAGTTATTTGATGTTTCTTAGAAAATTCATACTATCTATAGAAAACTCAAAAAGATGCATGCTAGGATGAACATAGAATTCTTATAATACAAAAAGATCATGAAATCCTTAAGAAAGATTACACACTAATTGATAGCAACCACATGAAATTATTAGATGAGTTTGATGAATTGAACAAACAACGTGAATTATTAAAATTATTTCACATTGAACTTGAAAATGATTTTAAAACATTTATGGATGAATCTAATATTAGAGAGCACTATTTGAAAGTTTACAATATTGTTTTAAAAAGTGCTAACTCATAATTTAGAGAGAAAATAAAAGCTCTTGAGGAAAATAGGATACACCCAACACTAGAAGATCTTTCTAATCCTGACTTGAAACCTAA